ACTCCAACTCCCAGCCGCCCCCGCGCCACCGCCCCGGTGCCGCCACGTGGCTCGCTCGCGGGGGGCGACGGGAGTTGTAGTCCCCGCGGCTGCCCGGGCTGCAGCCTTGGGCTGGGAGCCGGGTGTTGTAGCTACGGGACGTGAGGCGGGAGCCTTGCACCCAAGGGAATGTCATTGCACCGAGGGGATTGCAGTGCACAGGTAAAGCCTCTCTGCTCCCCTCCCTTGCCGGCTTTCAGGGCTCTTGTCTGCCTGCCCCACTCCCGTTTCCTGAAACGAGTCAAATTCTCTGTCCTCTGAGGAAACCTCAGTCCCGGGCCTTGGAAATCTGTGACTTTGCTGTTGGTTACTCACCCCCTGGGTAAGGGAGATGAGGTCGACGTCATTGACTTGGATTTTAGGAGGCCCTTGGACTTGGTGTCATCCCATGAAGCGCTCGAGGTGAAACGAGGGGAGTGTGGACTCAACAGTTCAATGGGTGGGAAACCGACTCTGAGGCTGAACCCAGGGAGTGCTGTGATGACCCGGCGGGAGGGAGCCAGTGGGTCCCCCCGGGTTCGGTACTGGGACCAGTGCTTTTCGACATCTTCGTCGACGATCCGGATGTGGGGGTGAAAAACACGCGGGCAAAGTTCACCGAGGAAATGCGGCCACGCATCAGGGTAGGTTGATGATCCAGGCGGACATGGACACATTAGTGAGATGGGTGGGCCAGAGCCAGATGCCGTTCAACACTGAGAAGTGCAAAGTGCTCCATCTGGGAAGGAGCAATCCGCCACGAACCTAGCTAGCACCACGTCCAAAAGGGACCCGGGGGTCATAACTGACCATCAAATGAATACGAGGCACTGGCATGATGCTGCAGTTAGCAGAGCAAACAACACGTTGGCATGCATCAACTGATGCATCTCGAGCAAAGCTAAGGAAGTGATTCTTCCTCTCTACTTGGCATCGGTGAGGCTACAGCTAGAGCCCTGCATCTGGGCTTGAGAAGGATGTGGAGAAGCTGGAGAGAGTCCAGAGAAGAGCCACTCGTATGATTAGAGGCCTGAAGAGCAAGCTGGATGAGGAAAGGCTGACAGATACGGGACTGTTCAGACTGCAAGACAGAAGACTTTGGGGGGCTTTGGTGGGAGCTTACAAATACATCGGAGGGAGAGAAGCACTGCAAGTCTTCTCGATTGGCACCTTCAGCCCAGCTAGAGCAAAGTGCATGAAAATGGGCTGCACGTTGCCTGGGGGAAGATGGAGAAGGTGAATCTTTTCTACCGCTCTTTCTTAAGAGTTGATCGAATCTTGTTGGCAGCCTAAGTGTCATATTTACTCGCATTCATCATGCACCCCTTCCCCAAAAATCAGCTGCCCAAAATTGACCCCTGCTCAAGGAGGATAATAGCTTGAAGGACTGAGCTACCGATTCACAGATGTTTAGGGCCGGAAGGGACCTCATGAGAACATGGGGTCCAGCCCCTCCATACGGTTCCCGTAATGCTCTGCAATGACATTTGCCTATCAAAATATCCTCTTGCAAACCAAACTGTCTTTCCCAAGTGAAATGTTTCAGTGGCCTCCGGTGCGGAGTGCTTGCGGGCCGCCTGGCCCATCCCGTCTCAAGAGACTTGGGATCTGGTCCCCGTTGTGTCACTGCTGCATGGTGCGCGTTCCTCTTGCACTTGGACTTCCAGTTGCAAGACTTGGTTTCACACCCGGGAAGGGGCCGGAGAAGAGCTGGGGCTCTGAGGGCTTTCTGCCCCCGCTAAAAAGGCCAGGTCAGTCTCTCCTGTAGCTGTGGCCCCTGGAGTCCTGCCTGCTAGGCTGCCCCAAATTGAAGGCTTCTAGTATCTGAAGCTCTGGTGCAACCCAACAGAGACAGTGGCTGGAGGCTCATGGCTCCCAGCTGTGTGATGGACCCGTTAGAAACCCAGGCAGGGCTCTCTTCGGGTCCGGCTGGGAATTTGGCAAAAGTCCATTGCACTCAAGTGAAACATGAACAAAACATTTCAACCTCAACAATTTGCCTTTGTCGGATGAAACTTTGCTTTGCTGGAAACTGTCCAACCCCGCTCTAGACGGAAAGGCTCCCATCAGCTTCGTTTGACTTTGGATTGGACCCTTTGTTACGAATTTGTATCCAATTAAAAAGCATCGCTGCTCGTTAGCAAGGAACAAAGAAGAATGGTCTAGCTCGCTGGAGCGTTGTAGCGTGTCCAGGACTTCATCTCGCTGAGCCCCGTGCTGCCGTTTGGGTCACAATGATGGATCCACCTTCTCATCATGAATAACCTCCTGCAAACTTGTGCCCCACGATTATTGTTCTCTTCTTGTATTCATTTCCTCTACACTTCAAAGTTTTTTTCCCGCCGCGATAAATCTGCTGCACTTCAGTTCCTAAACGTATGAAGCCGCAGAACAAATTGCTTCTTTTGAACTGCTTTGGTGTAACAATAAAAATGAAAGCTCAGCCCATAAAGCATCTGAACGATCCCTTGTTGCCTGGCACCTGTGGAAGGTTAACGTCGTCTGGCTGGCAAGTACTTAAAGCCCCTTCTAACATTTCAATTAAGGGATGAAGTTTTGGGAGGAGGGAACTGTCTGGATCGGGAGATTCATGAAGGGAGATGGAGCCTTTTACATCTCTGTCATCAGCTCAGCTCCAGCCCTGGTCAGTGGCAGCCAAAAGTCGTCATTATCCGACAGCTCAGACCCAGCGGCCTCGGAGAGATGAGCTATGGCCCTTGGTCTGGTTCCAGGTGAACGGGTGCATGTAGCCGCACAGCATCTCCCACCCCGAGGAGCAGCCTGAGAGAGGTGGAGGAGTGTAAGGGCAAGTCATGGAGACTGGTTTGCCCTCTTCCTCCGAAGGTGGAGTTTGAGGGATGTTAGCTGGCCGCTGGGGGTGTGTTGACCTGGAGGACCAGGGATGACTGGAGCCGGTGTGGACCTGCAGGCTGCAACCTTAAAACTAGGTAGCTCCTGGCTCACTAGGAGCATAGTCCTTTCAGCTTAGAGCTCGGTGCTAGCTAAATCTCCAGGCAAGCTGGCAGCCCTCCCTGAGCTCAGCATCCCTGTTATCAGTGTGTGGGCCCCCTAGTTCAAAGCTAGCTTGGGTGGACAGACCCTGGGAATGAAGCCTGGATTCCCCTTGCCCGCCTTCTGCTTGTGAGGGCTTCATTTCTTTCCCCCTCCATCAGTCCAGCACCTTGCATGCCAGTGCTATCATTTCATTTAGAAAGACCATTGCCCTAAGATTTTTTCGGTGGTCTTCTTGCTTCCTATGATTCTTAGTTTTTCTCTTTGAACCCAGCCTGGCTCCTATAGAAAACAGTGGCAAAACACCCATGAGCCTCCATGGGTATAAGCCGGCTGCTTCTTTGTGGGCCTTGCTAACACATGTTCTTGTGTTGCAGAGGGGCCTGATGCATCCTTCATAGCGCATGGTGTCTTCAATAAGACCTAGAAGTTAGGTCCCACTGCTCCCTGTCTTGAAACAGATGCCAACCTGGAGCCTCTCTCCGGTGAATTATTTGACAAAGAAAGACCTTAGATTCTCAGACTTGGCTGATGCATCTGGTCATGTTGTTTAACCCGCTGAACTTGAAATCTTTTACTTATCATTTGCATTGTGGTAGCATTGAGGAGTACTAGCGAAGGATGCAAGGTCTTGTAATGGTGGATGACACACACATGCATTGCAAAGACCATCCCTGCCCTACTCAACTTGCAATCTTGAGCTGGAATCTGATTCCTTAACGAAGCCTTAGTGAACAAACACCTTCTCTGAAACATAAAGAAGAGTCAGACAAAGGGGAAAGCCTATTTTTCGGGCAACAACAGTAATACAATCCCGTTCCAGAGCTGCTATTGCGTTTAAACGGATATTGTGTTAAGTAACTCTGGTAGCAAAAGTTACAAGTTGCAAAACTGCGCATGCAATGACCCTCTTCTATTTTACACGCTAGTAAATTCAGTTATGGTCTAGAGTAGGCATGATCCACCTACAGCACTTGTGCCACGAGTAGCACAGGCAGCGTCTGTGTGGGGCATTCAGCAGATCAGGGGAGGAACAGGAAACAGATAGGACAGGGAACAGAAAACAGAGCAGTGGATTGGGCAGGGAGCAGAAAGCAGAGCAGCGGATTGGAGTACCACTCGGGGAGGGTGTGGAGCTTACCTTGTGGCGTGTCTCCCAAAAAGATGGATCCCACTGGACTAGAGGTTCCCATACTTTGTCTCCATTTCAAGAGGAGTTTTGTGCGTGTGGAAGATTTTGAGAGGTTTGAATTTTCCTTTGGGGGGAGGTAAACCATGGCTGTTATTCCTGATGTAAAAGGTAATCCTTTTTGTCCATCTGTACATCCTGATTACTGGATAAGCCTTTGTCTGTGTTTCATAGATTCATAGATTCATAGATTAAGGGTCGGAAGGGACCTAGTAGATCTTCTAGCCCGACCCCCCGCCAGGGCGGGAGAACAACAAAAAACCCCAAAAAGAGAAATGGGACTCAAACGAGTCCAGCCAGGTAGGCATCCAGCCTCTTCTTAAAGACCCCCAGGGTAGGGGCCAGCACCACTTCCCTTGGAAGTTGGTTCCAGCTCCTAGCCGCCCTAACCGTGAAGTAGTTTTTGCGGATGTCAAAAGCCTTGCTGAGGTCAACACCTACTAGCATCCAAAGGGCTCATCTGGGATTTGAACCCAGGACCTCTCGCACCCGAAGCGAGAATCATACCCCTAGACCAACGAGCCCCCCATGTTCATGGCGTCAATGAAGCCCTGATAGGTTATGCCAGCTGAAACCCTGGGCCTATATACATGTTTAACATCTTGATTAGCAAATTGATGCATTCATAGACTCGTAGAGCTGAAAGAGACCTCAAGAACGAGCTAATTCAATCCCTTCCTTACAGCAAGCAATTCATACCTGACCCATTAGACTACCTAGACCTTAAATCCCATTGATTTCGATGGGCATGTCCTAAAAAGTACATCTGCAAGGGTTCGAAACCTTCCTCTTGTGCAACCACAAATCCAGGGAAATGTCAGTGGAAACATCTCATGATTCCCTCTATGATAGACAGGGATCCTGGTTTTCTCTGATTTAAAAAAAATCCCCAATTTTTGGTTTAAGGAAAGTAACCCGCAATCCACATTGGTCTGCAATTAAAATGAAACACTGCTATATATACTTTTATGTATTCGTAGTGTTTCTGTGATTCAAATGAAACACCACTATCTATCTAGCTATCTATCTGTCTGTCTGTATGCATGTATGCATGTATGCATTAGTGGTGTTTCATTTTAATCGTGGACCAATATGGATTTTGGGTTACTTAAACCAAAAATCAGGGATTTTTTTTTTTTCATCAGGGAAAACCAGGATCCCTGATGATAAATATTGTGGCGCTATGTTGCATTGGTTCTACTAAGTCAATGAAAGTATCCTGCGTCCCACAAATGAACAACATTGTTCTAACTTTCGCCAGAGATATTTGAGATAAAAGGCAAGGTGCTCACCGTAAGGAATCTGTTTCTATCTGTTGCTCCTCTTTAACATGGGTGAGTATTTCCTGGGTTAAATGGACCCCCTGAGTCATTTAGTGCTCCCTACTTCTGAGCTACAATTCAATGCAAGGTGGTGAACTCTTGTCGATTAAGATTTCATGTTGACTTACTGCATAATTTAGAAATCCTGTCTTCAGCTGTGCTAAGGACTGTGTCGTGGTGGTCTTGGAATAAGTGGGCGATCTCCAGGTGGCAAAGTGAGTTCACTCCTTTCAAGTTCAGGCTTTAAAAGGATTTCCTCCCAACCCACACAAACGTGCGCAAGCCCTGATTCTGTAAAATTTTTCACTGAATTGTGTTCTCCATTCGGCGGGGCCTGAACGAGAGAGAGAGAGCTGTGAAAAAACGGTGCATTGCCCTTGGCACCTTTTGATGTGAAAAATATTGCCATTTCGTTTCAAGCGACAGTTTCAGCCCTCCTGGATTTTGTGAAAACTAACAGAAGAGCCGGCTTCTAACATCGTGAGAAGACGCAACATTGTGATTGAAGGGTGAGCAAAAATGCTGCAGTTGGTACCGGAGTGTCAAACCCATTTGTGATGGGAGTCTGCTTGTTTGTACTTGGGAACAGGCAGCTTTTTAGGAAGAAAGAAACTTTTTCGAAGGTTTTTTTTTTTTAAATTTAGGAGTGGCCAATTTGGGAGAATGGAATCATTTTTGAGTTCTTACCAAAACGGGGGTAAATATGTCCAGTTTCACGTGCTTTCACCTTTCACTGTCAGTATGTCCTTGATACATGCAAGGGGAAGCCAGGGGTTGCCAACATAAGCCAGGCATGGTGTGAGCTTTTCTAACTCATTGGTGTCTGCGAGGTACCGGCGTCTCCTCTGCCCTCAATCCCCAGAGGATAGGAGTCTGTTGTGAATCCAGCTCAAACTGGAGATGTTAATAGTTGCTGCTCTGGAGGTCCCTTGTTCAAATCCCAATGGGTTGGCCAAGATGACTTCCATTCAACTGGTTGGTCCTGCACCAATTTTTTTTTTTTTTTTTTAATTTTGGAAAAAAATGTTCACGTTCCAGCTCAAATTAGCCAGATCTGTTCCAAATCCCTTCAGAAAACATATGTGGCCCTACTATCAGCAAGTATCCTTCACCCCAGACTTTTCAGCCCAGGGCTTCAGATACGTCCAAATCTTTTGGCGAGCATCCTACATGCGGGCCCATGCCTGGAGGCTTGGGGTTTGGGTACCTCTGAGTTTTGCTTGCCCTCAGCTGTACGGCTGCAGGAGCAAGCCTGGGAGGAGTCTCCCGTTTCCTTCAAGTCGGCACATAGCCCAGATCCTCCTGCTGGAAGCTGGCCAGTGAGAAGCTAACTATGAGGCTCTTGTAGGGAGTCCCGTCCGCATTAGGACAAGGGTGCACCCTCCGCTACACAGTGCCGTTTTTAAAAAGCATTTCAGCTCGGGTATCAGACCAGTGCAGCGGCTACACTTGAGCTTAGCCCACAAGAGGTACAGATGTGCCAGTGCGTCACACTCACCTACCTTCGGTAGCTCCGAGGGGTTGAACATTACAGTCATTTAAAGCCACATGAGCTACAGCTTACACGTAACTCATGTCTGTTTTCTGTGCCACAGAAGGACTCAGCTAACACCTTGGGTTCATGGGTCCCCGCCGTGATAGCTGCTCCTGTTTCCCTTGAAACTTTGTGTGCTGGAATATGGGATCCCTGCTCTTTGCAAACAGAAGGCATCTGTTATACACCCACCCTGCAAGACGGTAACAGCTTGAGTCCCAGCTTGTCCCACCTTTGTTTACCCTGCAACCTCTGACTCTTCTTGTATCTCGCAGAGACATCTAGTGGCTGGCAAACAAAGGACAGTCAGCATTTGTTTGCAGCAACACCTGGGCAGTACGACCGCCTCTTAACAGCAACATCCCCCCCGGTCATTCTCTATACTGTGTATTCAGGTGACGCTCCTTATAACAGCAAAAACAACCTAGGGGCAATGCAGCACCAGGACATCTTTTGCTACTAATAGGCATCAAGAGTACAAGTAATACTACAAGTAAATCTATCATTGGGCATGTCTACACGTGCGCTTCACTGCACAATAGACTAATTTGCTGCACAGTAAAGCACCACCGTCTATAAGTGCGTGGCAATTAGGCCAGGGTAGACTAATTTACTGTGCTGTCAGATAAGTATTATCTGATGGCAAAATAAACTACGGCACTTAAATGCACATGTAGATGGTGACGGCTGGATTAGTTTTCTCTGGCTCAAATTGCACTATAGTTTATGCAGTCACACTAATTGCACATGTAGACGTGCCTGTTATGTGTCCCAGCCAGCCCTGCCTCTCATTTTTCCTTTAGAGCAACGGTGTTCACACCAGCAAGTGAAAATAACTATATTATGTCAGGGGTGGATTCTTTCCTGGGAGATGCTGCAGCAGAGATATCCAGCACCAAAAAGTAATGATTCCCTTTAACCCACCTGTGCTTCTGTGTTCAGGGCATTTCCCAAGAATGGGGGAGAAGATAAAGCGCCACTTTGTTGAGGATCGGGTGGTGGTGATCGACCCTCTTCCTTTTACCTGGAGGGTGAAAGGGCCTGGACCTCACTACTGTCTGGATATGAAGATGTCTCGACTCAAACAACTGGTGTTCGCCTTTGAATTCGGATCTGTGGACCCCAGGTAAAAAGGCTGACAGCCACACAAAAAACCCTTTTGGCTCCATTGGAAAAGAGGAAATAGCTGACTGAGCAGGATAGAGGTAAAGCACGTTGTGAAGGACGGCATGTCACGGAGGCTCTGATAAAAGGGACAGGTCTTATGTGTGGACGGTGCCTTTGGTGTCCACACGTGTGAGGAAATTGTAGGCGGTTTGATGAAGTAGTGGTATTGACAGGTCCTCCTACCTGTGACCGAGAGAGTGTAAGCCTTCAAAACACTTCAGGACATCTACCTACTTGGCTAGTTCTTGGGAACCGGTTCCTTTTAAGTAGTCTCGAAACTGCCACCCACTGGGTTTTTGACTGTCCATGTAAGTCACCTAGCTCCTTTGTCTCCTCCCCTTGTAGCCCACACCCCGTCCAAGTCCAATGCTGCTCATTGGTCCCAATAGAGATAGGCCCAGCACGTTAAAAATGACTATAGGCATAAGGGGCATTTATGCACAAGCTGCGGGAGTGGTGGGAGGTGTGCTTTAATTAGAGCAGTTCTAATTAAAGCACCCAGAGTGTCTCGTGCATCAGCATCCTGGTGCTGAAAAAATGCTGGCGTTGAATGACTTTAGTTAAAGCGACTTTAGTTAGTGCTGATACACATGGCGCTGGAGCCAGCTGGAGTGCGGTAATTGCCATGGTCCGGCAGACTCGATTAATTGAGTCTGCTCGAATGGGCTGTAATTACAGCGCATCGAAGCAACCTTGCTGCACGTGTATACAGCCCTCTCAGTATCAGGGCGGGCTGATGATCAGATCTGCTTCCTTTTGTCTTCCAGGCAATCGTTCCCAGTGACTGAATTTCCTGCAAGGTAAAGATGAGGTTGTATGATGTATAAATATTGGCTCTGATGGTTTGGGGGGGATTTGCAGAGTGCCAGCTTCTGGATTTTCTTGCTTTGTGAGAAAAGCTTCAGTAGCATGTTTCTGCCCCTCCTCCCCATGCTATCATGAAAGCTACCTGAGACATACCAGGATACCAATCAAGCCTAATGAGACAGAGGCCTTTTACAGGGCTGTTCAGAGATCTTAAAGCCATTGCACAAAGGTGATAAATATCCCTGATCCCACTTTATAGGTGGGGAATCGAAGATGCAGAGGGGGTGAGAGACAGCTTGCAGATCTTAGCTGCTGTAAATCATCCTGACTCTGCCAACAAATGTGAGATACAAGCAGCAACATGGATTTATGCCAGCTGCAAATTTGGACCTCTGTCTTTGCACTTTTAATCTCCTCTTTTCTATATGATATTGTTTTGGGTGGTTTCCAGTTGAAAACTCCTTGATCAGGCAGTGCTGATGTTCAGACTGCCTGTGTGTGTTGCTACTTGTCAAATCTAGCGAGTACGTCAGAGGCTAAAAACGCCAGCTATTTAGAAAGGGAGCAGTGGAAGTTGGAAATAACTTGACTTTTCCCCCCTTCTCATTCCTTAGGATCGTTAAACTTGACATCTCTTTAAATGAGCTGGAAGAACTGCAACCTGAAGCGCTTTTTCCTTTTGAGAGTCTCTCTGAATTGGATGCATCCCTCAACGCTTTAGGCGGGTGCGTATGACTTTTCCGTGTGTGATTGATGGGGTCTCATGAAAATGTTCTTTCAATAAAAGAGGAGGAAAGGAATTATTTCCACGATTGCCCTGTGAGCGAGGGATTGTTAGCACCAGTAAAGAATTGGCAGGTTTCTTTTTGCCCCTCTCAAAGCACTTTGTGTTTAACAGGCTTCCCTCTGCTATCTCAGTCCCGATCCTCCCCACGCAGCTCTGCTAGTGTGAAAGGCATCACTGTGGTATTCCCAAGCTAGTACACATTACAAATCTAGGCCATATTATCTGCTGTGTGTAGCTTGTCCACTTCGGAGGAGCGATCATTCATAAAGTGCGGCAGAGGAAAGACATGAGCAATGAACACCAGACTTCATTTTTCTTATAGACTACAGCTGGATTTGAACCCCTGTGTTGCAGGGGGAAAGGGTAGCATGCTACCTCATTGCACTACCCAGATGATGAAGACAAAGAGCTGTTTAATTGCTGGGCTTTGAAATGAGGCATCATTCTCAAATGTTGCTTGTTGCCTTTCACATGCCCTATAGCAACGGTTCGTCCATTCTAATTAGTGGATGAGCCTTTCTTGGTGCTCATGAAGTCAACGGAGCTCTGATAGGTCATGCCAGATGAAACCCTAGGCCTGCATACATGTTTAACATCTCGATTAGCAAGTTGATAGACTCATAGAGCTGGATGGGACCTCAAGAACCAGCTAATTCAACCCCTTCCTTACAGCAAGCAATTCATACTGGACCCATTAGAATATCTAGACCTTAAATCCCATTGATTGTGATGGACATGTCCTAAAAAGTACATCTGCAAGGGTTCGAAACCTTCCCCTTGTGCAACCACAAATCCAGGGAAATGTCAGTGGAAGCATCTTATGATTCCCTGTACAATAAACAGGGATCCTGATGTGTGAACCTAGCCATTGGGCTAGGAGGGCAGATATAAAGCGGGGTTGGCGGGTGTGTAGGGTGGTCATCTGAAGTTTCTGTGCTTCCGGATGGTATTATCCTGAGATGCTGGGCTGTTCTGCATGTGTCAGCCCCCAGCAGGAAGGCTCAGAGCTGCTTTGGTGCAACACTGCAAGTCGCAGTGCTGAAGAGATTAGGCTAATCAAGCTCAGATGCTACACTGCACAACCGTGGGGATGCTGTTTCCACACCAGCTGCTATGTGCAGAGCTCGCTTAGTGCCTCTGCAGCACTGCCAGGCCTCTGCACCAGGCCTGATTATAGCACCACGAGGGAGACGGACCGTGGGACTGGGTATTGTGGAGCAGAAGGTGGAGCTGGAGAAAGGCTAGCCTGCGGGTTTGAAAAGGTTGGGAAGCACTGTTCAGTACTGAAATGCCTGCCAGGGGATCCTTCCCCTCCTAGAGAGGGATGCAAGCTGCAACACTGTGGTCTGGCCTTCACTTGCCTCCAGGCCATTTGCAAAGTTTGGACCTTGAGTTTAGCTTTCGGTCCACTCTAAGAGCCCTCTGGTTTCCCCTTTCGTTCCTCAGCTCCATTGCTGACGTATTTTATTCAGCAGCAGAGTCCACCGTGCTAATCTCCACCCCAACTGTTTTGTCTCTGGTTCCAGCATCCTGGGGATTGGCGTTCTTCCCAACCTTGCTGTATTGAACCTCAGCTACAATGCGCTGAGCGACGTGAGAGACTTAGGGAGCTGCACTCACCTGCTTGTCCTGAACTTGTCTCACAATCAAGTGCGGACCCTCGAGCACATGCCCCTCCTGAGTAACCTGACGCGGCTTCACTTAGGGTCCAACAAGGTATTTTACTCTCTCTCATGGTGGTGCAGAACAAGGAGGTACTCACAGCAGTGGAGACAGAAAAGCATATATATATATAGATATATAAAAAAAAATAAAATCAAGCAAACGCTGTACCCAAGCTGGGATTTTAGCCAAGACACTTCCTTTGAACACCTCTGCTTTTGGCAAAAAGTCACAGAATCAGAAACCTAGGGCTGGAAGGCACTTCAGGAAGTCACATCTAGTCCAACCCCCTGCTCAAAGCAGGATGACCCCTGACTCAACCATCCCAGTTGAATGATTGTCTAACCCGCTGCTAAAAACTTTCAAGGGTGGCAGTTCCACAACCTCTCAAGTAACCTGTTATAATGCTTACTCACCCTCAAAGTGAGAAAGTTTTTTCCTAATATCTAACCTAAGTGTCCCTTGCTGCAATTTAAGACCACTGTTACTTATCCTATTCCCAGCAGTCCCAGAGAATAGTTTACCTCCATCCTCCTCCTGCAGGTATTTAAAGACTGTTATCAAATCCCTGCTCTGTCCTCTCTTCTTCCAGCCTTTCCTTTTAAGTCATATTTCCTAGACTGATAATCATTGACCCGGGATCTTTAACAGCCATGATTGGCCAGGAATTAGGATTTAGGCCTCTTCTGAAAGACAGCAGGGTTGTCTAGATTCAACCTTGGATGTTGTCGGACTTTATAGGGCATAACCTAGGATGGGAAGAGACCTCCTGACTCTATCAAGTCCAGCTTTCCCTACGTTGAAGTCAGTCATGTCATATAATCCCATTCTTACATGGCTCAGCCTTCTTCTGATTTCCAAACTAAATTTATTCATGGCCTTTCTGTAGCTATTGGTTCCTGTGCTGACACTTTCTTCCACTTCAGATAGCTCTTTTCCATCACTAGTGTTTCTCTCTCCAGTGGCTATAAGGAGAGTAGATAAGAAGTGTGGAGTCTGTCCACCCAGTTCATTGCCCTGCCTGTGTCTGAGACCTTCCTGTCCCCTAAAACTTCCAGAAAGATTGAGGTGGGAATCCACAACACTGTCATACAGGTGGTGGTGGTGAAAGCTGTGCCACCTCCTACAATGAATAAGGCTGCTCCTCACTGCACCCATCCTAGCAGCATACTAGGATTCACTCAGGGGTCACTCAGCAAGAAGAGCTGCCATTGTGACTTCTTGTCCTACCTGGACTCTCCTTGGGCAGGTCCAGGCCCAGGTCTGCCCAGTTTATTGGCCTCCAGTGCTGACTAGGAGGGCTGATCTGAACCCTTGTGGTAACAGCAATGCAATCCATAACAAACCTCTCTCCCCCATCCTGTCTTTCCCTTAGGACAGGGGTGTCCAGCGTGCAGCCTGCAGACTGGACCCACCCTGTGCAAGGCTTCCAGAGGGACTGAGAATTTGGGAGTAGGACAACGGGGAGTGAGTCAGCTGCTGAAATCTGGGAAATGGTGCTGGGGACATGTCTGGTGAGGGGTGAGCAACGGCTCCAGTAACCCTCATAGTCACTGTGGCTCACCCACCAACATCTCCATGTCCAGATACTACCTGTAAGCAGCCCTGTGATCCAGATGTGGACCAAGGGGTGGGATGACACCTCTGCCTTAAGATGACGGGCCTTCTGACCCTGCAGTATCTTGCAAAACCCATCGCTTTGATGTGTGGTTCCACTCGCTTCCCCCAAACTCAAGCCAAGTGCACATTTGATGCCTGACTTTCACAACAATCCCCTGCTCAGTCCTAGCTGGGAATCACAGCCCGTGTCCTTTCCTGTTTCCCCCCTGCTGCAGCTGAGCTCCTTGGAAGGTGTGCAGAATCTGCCCCAGCTCTGCGAACTCTACATCCAGAGGAACCGGATTTCCAGCTTGCTGCCACTCTCCTCCTCCCTGGCCCTCAACGTACTGGATGCTTCCAGCAACAAGATTGCCTGCCTGCAGTACACCCTGCATGTGCTCAGGGGGCTTCACAGACTGAGACACCTCAAACTTCAGGTAAGACTCCCATTGACAATAAAATGCTGGTGGAAGGGCAGGAGAGGGGGATGCTAAAATGCAGGCATGCACAAATTGGAAGCCATGTCAGCAGATGGCCAAGAGATCTCCACAGCTCCCATGCAAATTTGTGCCTTGGAATAAAGGCTGTGGAGTGCAGCTTGGCCAGTTATAATCCAGTCTCCCTAAGAGAAGGAAGCCCCAGTGAAGTGGGGCTGCTGTGAAGTGAACCGGTTTGTTCCCCAACCCCTGTGTGGGTCTGTGGACAGTGAGACTAAATATTGAGGCCTCTTCCTATGGGTCCCAAACAGGTGTCAGTGCACCTGGTTGTCGACGCGAGTCTGTGGGCTGTATTTGCTCAGGCTAAGGGAGGTTGCTTCAGTGCACCCTGTTGTCCAAAACCCCATGCACTTTATTGTTCCCTCTCATCTCCACCACTGCTTTCAAAGGGCAACCCGCTGGCTCGGGATAACTGCTATGCCACTGCAGTCAAACAGGCCACAGCTGTGGAGAGCCTGGACGATGTGCTTCTTAGAGACCCACCGCGCTGCTCTGCACTGTCCTCATTCAGTTGGGCCCTGCTTGGGGAATCGCTGGCCGGTGTGATGGACTGAAGCCAAACCAAGGAGGATCTGAAAACATCAGCTAGGAGGACCTTCCTGGAGAGACTGCAGCACAAGAGAGATGACACAGAGAGCGCCATCCATCACCTTCACAGCAGAATACTGTAAGGAGTATGAGGCCTTCCCATTTGTCTGTGGGGTGCGAGGACTTAAGCAGTACCAGCTTGCCCATGGGCACAGCTTGATGGCCAGATTTGGGGTTGGGAAGGAGGAGTTCCCTCTCCCAGAGGTATTGGCCTGTGAACTTTGGTATACCATGGACACCTATGGGAATGCCTCTGTCTGGGTTAGGTAGGTGCATCCAAACCTATGCAATTAGTCTCTTTATCAGAGGAGGGAATTCCGGTTTCTCATAGTTGTTTCATAGATATTAGTGATGAAGGGACCTGAGCAGATCATCAAGTCTGACTCCCTGCCATGGGCAGGAATGAATGCTGAGATCAAATGACCCCAGCTAGGGGTCTTGCTATGAGTCCAGACTGTAGTGCCATACATAATTGTCCACAGTCATGCATCTGGGGACGTGGGAAAACTTTTTCACTTCTAATGTCATTGTGTGACAGGGACATTTAGGAACAAGGAGTAGGTAGGATCCATTTAGCCAGGCTAGGACCTTGGAGGCATGTGCACAAGACATTCCTGTTTGTTGTAGGGTGAGTATATGGGCATTTCCTCTCGTGTCATGAGCAGAGACGACGCTATGTGACTCCTGCTGATGCTAACAGATGTGCAGCAAAATCCTTGCACACTGCCCTTTATGTGCCATCTCCCAGGAAGCCTGCAGCATGTTGGGTGCTGAGTATTGTGCTAAGATATAAGCATGGATGCTTGCTTTGCTGCTCAAGTCATATTGAGTCTCCTGAGGAATTCTCCCTGTGGTTCAAAATAATGTAAGATTTCCCTCGCTCTGACAGGGACCTGCGAGAAGATTTGGCAGAATATGAAGACACTCTCAAAACAGAAATGGACGGCTGTATAAGGTACCTTGAGCCTTTATTGTACCGGGTACCTTTGTTATACTATTGGAAATAAACCAGCATAATACACCAGTTTATAAGTGTTCTTCTATACTACATCATTGATATATCAGGGCCTGGATGAAATCATAAGACATAGGAAGATGATTTATAGTTCCTACATTGGCAAGGAGGTAGATTGGATGATCTAATATGTATCTTCCGTATGTAATGTCTCGAATAGGTCACCCAACCCATCCCACTGCAGGGGACTCATTGGATAGTGAACTGATGCAATGTGTCATCTTGGGCAAGAAGAAGTGTTTCAATAAGACAGTTACAGCCCAGATGTACCATGAGACAGATTTCATTTTTATTACTCCATCCCTATGAGATGCACGTCTTGCTTAGCTTAGGATCTTGTCTGCAGCGGAGTTTACATAGACTACATCCAGAATACTAATTATGGGATTAAGTGGCATAGAAACTTTATGCTAGGGCATTAGTGAGGTCCCCTTCAAATGACCCAGGAGGAAACAGTCTCCTAATGCACTATCAAATCCTTTCCCTTTCCAGATACATAGATGCTCTCCCACCTAAGGATTTCCAGGGGCTGACTAACCCTGACATGATCCCGAATGCTATGGAGAAGTTCCTGTTCACCAAATTCTGGCAGAGGTGGCATCAAGGCCAAAGGAGACCAGCCAACCTTCCCTATAAAGCATTGACCAAGCCAGATGAGGTACGAGCTGTAGTTATCAGTGATCGTTACACGTGTCAGAAGTAGCAGGAAGTTTGTTTTATAACCCTGTCATGCTTTAGTGTTGGGATGGTTCAGGGCAGAAGAAAGAGAAGTCAGCCTCATGCAGGGAGCTTCTCTTCATCACAGTGATGGCAAAGGGAGGTCTTTAAACTAGATTCGAGCTGCTGGCCTCATTCTTGTCTTAGGGTGTGAACATACAAACATTATACGGTGAAAGAGCTCATGCAGGAGGACTAAGTTACATCAGTTTTGCTTCCACTTACAGCTGAGTAAGAGCGTACATGCAGGCAGTTATTTGGGGGCAATGGATGTGCAAGAAAGCCCCATCCTTTTTGGCACACTGCCTCCATGTCCAACCATAGGGTTACATCCACACTGGCTCCATGTGGGTCTTAAAGCTGCAGCTGAGAATTAAGCTGTGTTCATTTACTCCCTCTCTGCATATGGCAATACCAGAAACACAGCAGGCAGGATCCTGTACTAGGGATGGTTCCCACCACTGCTGCTCTTGAGATCTTTGCCTCCAGCATGGTTGAGAGTGGGAGTGGGGACATCCTCCCTGCTGCCTTCCCTGGTTTAGTGCATGTGGAATGGGAGCTGGGAAACAAATGACCACAGCTGATGCTTTCGAGTTATTTCCTATATTGGGGCTTACGCCCCCAAACTGGGCTGGTGACACCGGCTCCAGTGCCGCCGTGTCCAGCACCCCTGCTGCGTGCTCCTCCGCCGCCTCCTGCACAGCATCAGCGTGCGCCAGCCCTGGAACAGCCCCATGGCAGGGAGGGGCAGGGGCAGGTGGGCACGCTCTGCAGTGCCCGGCCTCTCCCAAATAATAGTTTCTAGTGTTGCTTATGGTGGACAGGGTTTTTTTGGTGACAGCCCCTCAAGAGCAATATGGAGCCAACGTAGAGATCCCTTATGGTATGATTTCCTGTGATCCCCTAAGTCTGTTGCAGAGCAGGTGGGTGAAATCCTGGCCCTGCTAAAGTCCCACGGGAGTTTTCCCCCTGCATTTCAACACATTTTCTCTCTCCAGTGTCTTCTGAACGCTCTCCTCTTCTCTGGCTCCCAACTCCCCTTCCCTGATGTCACTATTAACTCAGACTTAACCATCTCATTGCTTTCGTGCTCAGGTGCTGGGCGCTTGCTGCAGTGAGCTCAGGTGATTGAGGAGGATTCAGTACTGTGGGGGAAAGGGAGATCTTTTTTTAGCCATCTCCCTGCCCATTATGTGCATGTGGGTGATGGGTTGTGTTCCTTATTGCAGGCACAGCATTAAGTTTTCGCTGCACATGGAGCGACGGGTGCATGTTACCGTTCACCTTAGCCAGGGGAGACAAGCTGGTGACAAATTACAGTGCCAAGTGGCAGGGACTTGATTTCTGGTGAGCGCTGAAGGTCCAATAATATGGTTAACAGCGCTGGTGGAAGCAGCAGTGACAGCCCTGTTAAATAGAGAAGTCCACCACTGCAGACCTGGCGTTTTTTCTACAACAGATGCTCTTCCTGTTGTTCCTCTGACAGCCGCCTTAGTCAGCTGCAGTTGTTTTGCTCTTTGCTCTTTGCTCTTTTTTTCGATCACTCAGCAGGACTCGAGGTCTGTCCTGATGTTCTTCCTGTGCCAGGGTCTCTTTTACTCCAGGGCCATGCAAGCAGGATCTGCACCGGGGCTAGATTCTGCTGCCCAAGAACTACAGGGGAACAAATGACCGCAGCGGATGCCTTTGAGTTATTCCCTTGGTTACCTGCAAGCAGAGTATTTCAGTGTCTTTGTTTCACTGAAACTCCTCCTCCCTCCTTCTTAATAAACTGACTTTATTAATACAAAAGGGATTGAATTAACAGGTAGACCTTACCATCTTCCTCCAGGCCCAGTTTTCCTTTAGCCCTGCACTGCAGGGAGCTCCAGAGCATCCCCTCTCTCTGGTACACACCCTCTCTCTTATGGGTTGCTCCTTTTTGCTTGTGCACCAAGCCTGGCAAGTATCTCCTTCTGCTCAGTGGCCTTGTGTCTATTCGGGAAGTCTCTTGGGTCACAGCAAGTCCTCAGAAGAGCTGGGAACTGCTGGAGAGCCTGTCGGATCAGGGTGGGAGGCTGGAATTGTCCCCAGCACCTGAGTTTATCCATGGGCTTGGGCCTCTGGTTGGCTCAGGTGAGCCTGTGCCCTGTAGACCCTGTCGCCTGCATGCCTGTAGATGCCTGTCACTTTGATATGTCCTTGTTCCCCCTGGACTTATCTAGGACATCCCTGTGCCGGCCCTGTCCTGTAGTAAAGCAATTGGCTACATCAGCTAATGGCCCGAATTAAAACAGCCCCCAGGCTGCCATCTGACTTGTGCTGAGGGTCCATTCCCCTTCTGGTCTTAACACATTGTTGTAGGTAACTAGGTAAGGACCCCGTGTTATTGCACCAAGCATCCGAGCCCTTTAGGATTAGACGTCACTGTAGAAAAATCTCGGCTTATCGTCTTCCAAGCAGCTGCCCCTCTCCTATAGACACCCCGAAAACTAGCTCTGGTTCCTAGCGGTTATGACACGCCTGTCATAGGGCCCCTAGGGCAGTTGGGAGACATGCCATGGAAGCGTGGAAGTCTGCTTGAATATCCATGCTCCTTCGTTGCCTGGAATTTTTCCGTGCCTGGGCCCTGAAGGCACTTGTGTGGGTGGACGCAATGCCAGGTGGCTCGTAAAGAGTCTAGACAGAGGTAGCCTCCCTACGGAAATCAATCTTCATTAAACAACCCAAAGCCCAGGCCTTGGCGGAGAGGTCGAGGGGGAGGTAATAGAGGAGCCATCTCCAGGCAGCACCACGTTTAACTCCTCCAGCGCAGCTTCTGCGACTCTTTTCACTGAACGAAGTCTGCTTTTCTTTCCTTGGGCAGTGAATTGGGTGCCAGTAGAAGTTGCTGGTCAAGGATACACCTTGTTTGCCCACAGAAGAGGTATATAGAGCTAGGAGAACATTGCTCAGCAAATGAGATACTTGGTTAAGAAAATGCAGCTTTGGAGAGGCATACCAATCATTTCCTTGAAAAATAACCTGACTTAAAAAAAAGTTAAGAAAAAGTTAAAGTAACCCAAAAGCAAAAATAATCATTTCATTTTGAGTTACCCTCCCCGCCCCCCCTCCAAAACTTCATTGGGCATGGAACAGATTGCTGTGCTTGGGGGTGGGAGAGGATGAAAAAGCTGAAAAATATTTGTTTCAGGTCCATCCAAGCCATTTTTTTTTAATTTTCAGTTTGGCAGCTCATGCCAAATAATCCCTCATTTCTCCAGAAGCAGCCTGGGCTGTGCCTGTGTATCTTTCAAAGCACTGGCAGGCCTTTCCCTCTAGGCTGAGTAACAAAGGACATACCTTTCAGCATCACTGGGCCTTTTTGTTCATTGGTGATGACCCTGGTGGAGATAGTCCATGGCACAATGATAGTATTTTTATTTTAACAAGCTCCAGGCACTTTCAAGATTTGCATTTAGTGCTGGGCCAGTACTGTGGAGGGTGCCAGAGTGCAAATTTGGGTCAAAATGTGGATGGAGATTGGATAATCTGAACTGATGGCATCATTCCCGATTTGCTGGTGTCTCAGATTTGAAACCTTGTGGTACATAAGCCGTCCCTCCTTGGGGAGGAGGGTGGGAGGCCTGGACCTGGGAGATGGTGCATTTAAGACTGCCATCCTGTTGTAAGAGAAGCACTTAGTGTCACTTAGGTTTGGGAGTGTACAAGAGGGAATGGGGGCTCTGCTAATAAATGGTATTCACCCTGGGTGGGCTCTGCCTGGATTTATACTCCGGGCAGACCCTGCTTGCTGGCTAGCCCCACATTGAAACACCCTCATACCCCAGCCAGTCCCCCGGCCTGGGCATATTGACCTGGGTCAGAGTAGCCCTGGGATGGCAGGCTGACCTACGGGGCTGCTCCAACCAGGCTCAATGTGCTGCACATAAATAAACTCTGGAGCTAAATGCTCTAGAGTTATTTGTTCCTGGCTGCACATTCAAATGATGTGCCTAGGAGCAAAAAACTCCAGAGAAATAAGCACCGGAGTTGATTCGTGTGTACTGATTGCACGTGTAGATGTACCGAGGAGGCTGAATTAGCCACGTGTGTGCCTCAAGGTAGGGACAGCCAAACTTCAAATGTTCAGAGCGTGCTTTTGGCTTCGCTATCAGCATCCAAACATTTCGAATAACTTCTTTGTGGCATCTGGGTTTCTTGGGTCTGCAAAGCTGAATTGGAAACCCCACAAGAGACAGCATCCTTTGTGGGATTTCTGGATCTTCTGTGTCTGGATATGACTGGAAATGCCATCCGCCGAGTCTTTCTTTTGGTAGGTTGAGACTTCTGGTTGTGAAGTGATGCTGGGTGAGAAAAGGAACTTGCCAAATACGAAACCAACAGATGTGATTTTTTTAGAGCCAATGTGTGAGCCCTCCCCTCACCCCCAGCCCTCTTTACAGAGTCATAACTAGCGAGTTGTGTGCCCTGGGCAGAGAATGGGAGGAGGGTGTTATCCCATGCATCTGTGGGTGGCAGGGCAAGGGCAGGAGGGAAAGGAGCAGGGGCAAGTGCTGGAGAGTCTTACCTGATAGTACCTCCTCGTCGCTGCCTGCCGGGTAAAGATGTTCAGCCAGGACTGTGTGATGGAGAGGTGCTGGGGGTACAACTTGTGGGGCCTAGTCCTGATCCTCTGCACAAAGAGGTGGGATAGGTGGCGTGAACAGCCCACTAGCATGTCTCCCACTGGGGAAGAAATCCCTGAGATAATTAGTATACACAGCCTTCATGACCTTCCAGCACTATACAATTTCCTTTTCTGGGCAAGGTACACAGTCTGGGAGGACTGGGGCAGGCAGGACATAGGCTGGAAGAGGTGGACCCATAGGGTCAGATCTGGAGCATCCTCAAGGGTTGTGTCGCCACAGCCACATCCTTTTCATCTCTCCCACATTTCCAGCACCCAGTCAACATTGGATG